CCGTACATTGTTATATTAATTTCAAAATTGTTAGATTAGTGTTATAAATTAGTTATATAAATTCTTCCATTAGTATCGCAATTATAAGAACTCAATTAACGGAATTTTTGTGTAATAATTTATATTTTTTTCTGAGGTATAATTATATCCATATATTACCTTTGGAAAGAGAAGAAAAATCCTCATTGAATTATTTACAAACTTTATTGTCTCACCCGGTCTCAGAGTATTCTTCCTAAAGGACATCATGAATCAAATCTCGTATTTCTTTTGTAAAAGTAAATGGAGGAACTAACTCCCTTCCTACCCAACAACCAAACACCACCAATTGTCATCCACCAAGATAACTCTACATTTCCTATCAGTACCATATTAGATGAAACAAACTATTAATTATGGTCTCAATTTATGGAGATGCACATTGGTGCTCGAAATAAAGCTGGTTATCTTACTGGAGAAACGAAAAAGCCTGTACTTGAAAACTCCAATTATAAAACATGGGTCACCGAAAATCAGAAAATAAAGAGTTAACTTTTTGACTCAATGAGTCCATCCTTCATGCAGTAATTTATTCACCTTCCCACAACCAAAAAAATATGAGAAGTTGTATCGAGAACTTTTTATGATGGATCAGATGAAACTCGTCTATTTGAGTTAAACAAGAAGACATTTTCTACCACATAAAATGGTAGATGATTGTTTATTTACTATAATGAACTTGTTGCTATTTTTCAGAAAATTGATCATAGGACTGCCTCTCAAGAAGGAACAATCGAAGGAGTTGTCTAGTTGCATTCTACAATGGCTAGACTTCGAGTTCATATTTTTTTTAAATGGACTTGATTCTGAGTTTGATCAAGTTCGTGGAGAAATCTTGTGAAAATATCCAAAACTGGGTTTAGAGAGTGCATATGCATATGTAAGAAAAGACTACCAACAACGACAAATAATGGGAGGTTCTCGAGTGATCTCAGAAAGCTCAGCCATGCTTGTCAACCAAAAATTGCATGGATCATCCTCGAAATAAGCAAAAACTCGAAATAATTAATTTATTAGAAAGTCCAACAATTTTATATGGAACCATTGTGGTGAAACAGGTCATTTTAAACCATGATGCTATAAAATTGTTGGTTATCCTGAACGGTGGGATTTCTCAAAGAAACCACAAAAAAAGATTGCAGAAAAAACTATGATGACATCGTCTAAGGAAGTTGAATGTAATACGAAGGATAATTTGCAACTTATCGTAAATGTTGATCATCCATGTATTATTAATCAAGCAAATGTTGCTCACCTAGATATTATTAATCAAACAAATGTTTTTTTTTTTGCAACTTCTAAGAATACAACTTGGATTACTGATACAGGTGCATATTATCACATGATTAGAGACTTAGGGCCAGTTACAATTTGTTCACTCATCTTCTTAATCCGTTATACGTACAACTAATAGAAGTACAACACTTATTACTCGAGAAGGATCTACTATTTTGTCTAATATACTCACCTTGGATGCAGTTCTTATTGTCTCATATCTTGAATATAATTTTTTATCTATGAGCTAAATTACCTTATCTTTTGATTGCACAGTAACTTTTTGGCCTTCTTTTTGTGTACTTTAAGATATTTGATCCGAAAGATTCTTGGGTTATGGTGTTAAACGAGGTAAACTCTACTACTTGGAAATTAATAGAAAATGGAGAACAAAAAGTTAATCGTGCATGTCAAACTAGTAGTGAAGAAAAAACTCAAAAAAACTATATAGTTATGGCATAAAAGATTGAGGCATCTTTTTTTTAGATATCTTCAAAAAATTACAACCATATTTATTTTTAAACTTGGATATTTCTGATTTTCATTGTAATATTTTTGAACTGGCTAAAAGTCATCGTATTCCTTACTTACTTAGTATGAATAAATGTTCTGAACCTTTTGTTGTCATACACTTTGATATTTGGTTCCCTACAAAGGTTCTTTCTCTATCTAAAGCTTTATATTTTATTACATTCATTGACGAATGTACTAGAATGACTTGGGTGTCTTTGCTCGAGAGAAAAAGTGATGTTTTCACAGCCTTTTAAACATCATAGTTTGGTGGAAACTCAATATCAACGCTAGATTCATGTTTGGCAATTTGACAATACAAAAGAGCTTGTTGATGCAAAATTTAAAAATTTTCTAAGCCAAAAAGGTATTCGACATCATACCTCTTGAACATATACTCCGCAACAAAATGGGTTGGCAGAGAGAAAAAATAGGCAGATAATGGAGGGAGTTCGTGCATCACTTTTTGGTATGAACATGCCTCGGTTCTATTGGGGTGAGGCTGTAAAATCTGCTACTTATTTAATCAATTGGACACCTTCTGGAGTATTGAATTTTTAAACACCACAACAAAAGATGAAATCGTTTTTCTCCATTCCATATGTTCCAAATCTTGAACCAAGAGTTTTTAAATGTATTGTCTATATTCACATTCCTAAGAATCTCATAAATAAACTTGATCGTGTGCAAAAAGATGTGTTTTTATTGGTTATTCTAATTTTCAGAAAGGATATCGGTGTTATGACCTTCAAAATCAGAAATTACATGTGACCTTGGATGCTTCTTTTCATGAGGTAGAACCTTATTACTTAGGGGGAGTTCATGCACATTCTCTTCAGGGGGAGAAATCTGATGAAGAAAACGTGTTACAAAAAAATGGCAGTAAAGGAGATGAAGATGTTTTTCTTAAGGTAGAAAAGATGCATGAAAATGTTGAGAGAAGTAGTCAAAAAAATTTAGTAGAGAATGATAACGAACTGATGGTTCATTTTGAAAATATGTCAAAATTGCCAGTAGTTACAGATTTTCCTTTAATAACACCATTAACCAAAGAATCAACTCAGACTATCTAGAATACCTCACCTCAGGTAATTTCAAATCCTATATCTAATGAAACAAATATTTCTTATGAATTTATGATTCCTAGATATCCACAAAAATCTAATAAAGATGTTCCAAAGAAGCAATACGAACCTGATCCTAAAGCCAAAGTTAAATATCCTATTAACAATTATGTCTCTACTTATAAGTTGTCTGAGTCATATGCACTTACTATTAATCAATTATCCAAAGTTTCTATTCCTAGTAGTGTGCAGGATGTATTGCAGCATCCAAAGTGGAAAAAAGCAATGAACGAGGAGATAGAGGCTTTGCAGAAAAATTCCACATGGGAACTAGTTC